TCTGCTGTGAGTCTGCGAGTCATTAGCCTCTTGGGATTCCAGTAGTTGTCCCTTGTCCATAGTTTTAGCCACGCTCAATCAACAGTGCTCCAAAAATACAGGACGGTACAATAATATATTTTTAGGGAGAGGGAGAGACCATATCCACATCACTTCTGTTATAGTATATCATTATAGTCATTCTATTTTATTTTATTGTTAATTTCTTCCTGTACCTAATTCATAAATGAAACAGTATCATGGGGATGTGTGTAGAATCATGGTTTGGTGCTATCCATGGTTGGAGGCATCCACGGAGGGTCTTGCTGAGGATAAGGAGAGACTACTGTGTATGACACCTGTTTGTTGACAGGAATAAGATAGACCGATAATTCCAGGGGCTGGAGCTGGACCAGCCTGGGAGGCTGGGTCAAAACAGAACCAGACAAAGTTTTCTCCCTCGCATGCTTTTCCCCAGCCCCTCTTCCACCTGTCTCCTGAGCAGTGTGTGCCTGGCCCAGCTCTGGATGGCCAACCCAAGAGGCTGCAGGAATCTGCAGTGCCTCCTAAATTTGCAGTGAAAGTCAAAATCATCTCCAGCTTGCTTCACGTTTTGAGACTATTTGATTACATTTCAGCTCCCTGGAGATTGTTGGTCCGGTCTGAACACGCACGTTTTCCTCACTGAGGAGCACCTTTAGGCTCTGTGCCCCATAAGACCGTGGCTGATGGGGCTGGCGTTGTGGTGCAGCAGATGAAGCTGCCGTTTGCGGGCTGGTACCCCATGTCAGAGCACCAATTCAGGTCCCCACTGCTGTACTTCCAGTCCAGCTCCCTGCTAATGCACCTGGGAAAGTAGTGGATGATGGCCCAAGTGCTTGGATCCCTGCCACCCAGGTAGGAGACCTGGATGAATTTCCTGGCTCCTGGCTTTAGCCTGGTCCAACCCCAGCCATTGCAGCTATTGAGATCTCTCTCTCTCTCTCTCTCTCTCTCTCTCTCTCGGGTAGATTGATAGACGAAAGACAAAGACATAGGAAAACAAAAGTTAGGATTCTTAAGACTTACTGATCCAGGCGCCTTGACATCAGAAGGTCTTGGGGGCCAGGAGTGATGTGAGAGGAAGAAAGCGGAGGAGATGTGAGTGAGCGCACGTGTGTATCCGAGTTAACTGCAGCATGCACACTCAAGACATTCGGGCTCAGAGCTCAGAAAGGTGTAGTCTCTGCACGTGCCAGAGAGAACCAGTAGAGTCCATCCAATCCAGTGCACTGGACACCACTGGGCGACTCGTGACTGGGAAAGCCGTGTGGCTGTAGGAGACAGAATACTGCCGTCCCCTGTCCCCCAGGGATGTGGGTAAAGATGCCCACGTCCTAATCCCCAAATCTATTAATAGATAACCTCATATGGCAAGGAGGACCTTGCAGCTCTGATTAAGTTAATAATCTTGAGATGGAGGTTAACTGAATTAACCTACAGTGCCTAGAACCATTAGCTGATTTGATTATTATTTACCATTTGCCTAGAAAAGCACATAGGTCAGGCAGGGCCCAGTACCTTGTCCAAAGCAAGCAGTTTCAGAGCAGACGTGGGACCAGAACCCAGAACTCTGACTCCCGCGCTGTTTAGTGCTTTAACATTGCGATGTCATATTCTCATTTTCCTTTCGAATCTCTTTTTCCAAGTCAAAGCCATGAATTGCACACATTCCCTTCTGGAGAGTAAAGCTACGTTCTGTAGCTGTTACCACCCTTGCATTCTCAGACCCCTTGAAGGGAATAAAGCAAGTAGAGGACCTCACTGGACATCTCGCGTGTTGGGCTGCAAGGCAGCCTGGTTAGCAACGGGATTTTCTCTGGCTATAGATCTGTCATTCCTAGTTTTGTCCCCTCTCCAAACCGGACCCAACAGAAAAACAGAAAGACCAGTGCAGAACCAGGCCCCATATCTGATAATGAATGGCTGGGCTCTGGGCACGGACCAGTGAGTGACCATTCTACAGACATCCCCAGCCCGGGACTCCAACAAAGCCCTGGCCTGGCCTCCGAGGTGGATGCTCCCTCTGAATGTGCAGGACTTGTTCCAAACATGCCACTCCTGAAACTCGAGCGTGGTTTAAAGCTTGGGCATTGCTAGACCGGCTCAGAGAGGGATGCGTGCCTCGCTTATAAAAGCAGCGAGTCTTCTTGGAGAAAATAAACAGAAAGGTGAGAAAGAGCCTGTCAGAAAAGCATCCAAGGTGGGGCCAGGCGCTGCATTCCACACCTGTGACACCAGCTCCTCCTGCCACGTGGGAATGCACAGCCAGCCCTTGTCAGTGGGGACCCAGGGTGCCTGGATGGCCGGGCAAAGGAAAAAGCAGTTTCTTTCTCTCTACCCCCGCACTCAACGCAGCACAGCTCCCCGTGGCCGGGGTGAGGGCTTTTCTCCGCACCCCGGGGGGCTCTCAGTGGACACGGACTGAGTATCTGGGCTCTCACCACCTGGAGAGCATCAGATCCCACAAGCTGGAGCTCAGGCCGGCAGAGGCTGCACCCCCTGCAGATGCCAGTCACAGCAGTGGGTTGTCACCCACCGGCTACCCAACAGCCCTCTTCTGGGGTTACAGGGAGTTCATTTGCTAGGAGGGCTCAGAGAAGGCAGGGAAATATATTTTTAAACTTTTTTGACTTATTTTTATTTATTTGAAAGGCAGAGACAGACAGAACTCTCCCAGCTGCTGGTTCACTCTCCAAATGCCCACAATGGCAGCGGCTGGGCCATGCCAAAGAGAGGAGCCTGAAACTCGATCTGGGTCTCCCACGTGGGTAGCAGGGGCTGGAGTCCTTGAGCCATCACTGCTGTCTTCCAGGGCATGCATTAGCCAGAAGCTAGACCTGGAAACCACGCCAGTACTCGAACCCAGGCACTCCGATGTGGGATGCAGACATCCCAGGCAGCGTCTTAACCGCTGCGCCTAATGCGCGCCCCTCAGTGGGATATTTCACTGAGCTTTACCAGTGTATTATAAAGGACGCAGGAGAAAAGCCTGGAAGCCGGGTGGAGGAGGGAAAGAAGAAGGTGTGGGGTGGGAGACACAGCTGGTCCAAGCCCTCTGGCCACAGCACCCTCCCAGCACCTGCAGGCATTCTGCAACCTGCACTTCCCTCAAGTCTGTCCAAGAGTTTCCAGGGAGCCTAACCTTCAGCCTCCTCCTCCCCTTCCCAGAAGTGGGTGGGGCTGAGAGGCTCAACCCTCCAATCACGTGGTCTTCCTGGCCACCTGCCCCGCCCCTCCCTAGTCACCACATTAGCATATCTCCTGCTGCCATGCAGGAATTCCAAGGCAGGGCCAAAGACCAAATGCATTTCACATTTATAGCACAGGGATGTTTTGAGGAGAGAATGACTAATAAGTGTGGAGGATGTTCTTAAAAGCTTAAGAACACCATGGAATACAATTTCCTATAGTCTCAGGGAGCTGCTGGTTTATTTATAAGACAGGTGTCTGCCACAGGTCCTCTCTCTGGCCTTAAAGCCCCTCCGGAACAGGTGCAGTAGTGATTCGGGAGTGTCACACACAGAAGCCGCTGCTGTCCACCCTGGGGCAGTAAAGAGGAATCCACGTGGCAGCGAGCAGTGAGTCCCACATCCCACACTGGGAGACTGCGTGGGCTTTACACAGCCGGGCCCAATCACCGTGTTTGGGTCAGCGACAGATGGCGTGCACAGAGGTGCTCCCCTCAGGCTGGAAATGGAGCGGAACGATCGGGCGAGGACGCTCACTGTGACTGTGTGTTTGCATACACAAATGCTGAGCTTTCTGTTACACTTGCCTGCCATCTCCAGTTCAGGTCCCTGGCCTGGTGCACCTTAGCCCGGGTGCATAGCAGTAGGCTGAATCCCGTGCAGGTCAGCGTAAGGGAACTCTGTGATGTCTGTGCAACGAAACTGCCCAACACAGCATTTCCCAGAATGCGTCCTTGTGGCTAAGCATTGCGTGACTCTGTTTCTATGCAAGGATCCCTCTGCAGATCCCATGATGCACACGCCTTGCTAATTCTAGCTATATGTGTGATATTTGTAGGGGGAGCGGGCTGACTGTAGCTTCCACACCAGCACCCCTCTTCACCCCCTAGGCTCCAGTGCAGGACTCTGGGGAAGCCCTATATCCATTCCCCAGTGTTCTCATCTCACACACCTTTCATCCCAACGGCAGAAGCAGACTGCTAGGAGTGGCAGGCTTGTCCCAGAATGCCCACGAGCTTCAAAGTACCAAAGTCCCTGTCCCTGCTCAGGCCCACTGTGCTGGTGTGGCTCATCCCTCGGGCCTTCCCGCACCCATGTCCTCTTGATGCCACTCCCATTCTCCCACCTATTGTCTGCCCCACCCCCCATCGCATCATAGAATGCCCTTGCTGTGAGGTTTCACTTGCATGGGCTAAATGGCATGCCCAGCCAACAAGAGTGTCATTTGTAGGCCTGTCCATTTGTCATCGCACGTCCTAATAAGGCTGTGCTGGTGGTGGGTGTGGACAAGAAGAAGAGCAGCCGTTGTTCTTTGCATGCGTCTCCCTGGGGCCCCCAGCCTCTCCGCGGCCTGACTGGATCGGTGCAAACCGAGCAAGGAGCAAGCTCCAGCCTCCGGGGTTGGGGCGGAGAAGGGCAAGAGGCCACGGTCTTGAAGTCGGGAGGCCACCAGGAAAGAAAAGGGCTTCTGTGAAGTGAGGAGTCCCAGGGAAGTTTCAATCCCTTGCCTGGGGCACCAGAGGCGCAGGGCTGGGGAGGAGGGGCCGGTGGAGGGAGGCGGGGAGGGGTCAGCCCTGCGTGACATGAGTGACATGACGCAGGGCGCCCTTCCTGGGCTTGAATTTGAGGAACTAAGGAGGCGTTCGTGGCGAGAGCCAGTCCTTCAGAGACAGCATGGAAGAAGAACGGCAGCCGCTGCCCGTGTCTCCTGAGTCTGCCAGGGAAGGGGAGGTTAATGACCCACGGAGGATATGATATGGTCCAAAAACTTTTCCTGGATTTTTTCCGTAGGCGGCTGAGCCAGAGGCCGACTGCGGAGGAGTTGGAACAGAGGAACATTCTGAAACGTGAGTGACTGGGCCCGTGGCGAGGACCCAATGGGGCAGGGGGCTGTGGCGGGGGGGTCTCACTGTGGGCGCCCCGGGTGTCTGCCTTGTACCTGTGAGGACACGACGGGGGAGCCCCTGCACTGGATGAGCCGTTGTCCTTGTGTGCTTGAACCCCAAAGACAGCTCCCCATAGGGAAGGCACGTTTGGGTCCACTCTGTGCCACCGGCCCGCTTTGTTCTTTAGAAGCCTACAGATGGAGGATGGTGAGCAGCTGTTTCCCTTCCGTGACCTAACACGAGAGCACTTCCATCAGACAGTGGGTGGGAAAATGGAATGAAAAGATAACGTGAATTTTCCACGGGCGACTTTGCAGCCACCTCCTATAAAGTCCGAGAGAAGCTGGAGGATGAGAGTGAGGAAGCTTCTTGTTCAATGGCTTTGAGGAAAGTCAGGTTCACCCTTAAGCCAAATTGTCTGTAAAACCCCGGATGTGAGATACAAGGCTTAAAAAAGGGAAATAGCCCTTTGAAAACCGGCCCTGGAAGAAAAAAAAAAAAAAAACCTGACTTTCCCTGGCAGCCGGCTGCTGTGGATAAAATTTCTTAAAGTCCACGAAAGTGTTTCCAAGGGGGAAGTGCTGTGTGTGCATCTCAGGGTTCCCCCAGCTGGCCAGGGGTTTGCCTGGTTGGCGCTGTCATTCAAGGAAAACTCCATACCGCCGAGGCTGCGGACAGCCAAGCCTCTTGTTCGTAATATTCTTTGTGTCCTGCACCAGAGAGTCCACCTGGTGCCAAAAATAATTTTTTTTAAAAAGAATACAAAACACTAAATCCAGCATTTCTTTCATGCACCTGAATGTGCCTCAGTTTAGAGGTAGATATTCAGTAATCCGTCAAAGCAGTGAGTTCACATGGGCTTGCTCTCACCACTGCTCTCCTCGGGAGAGTCCACAAGCTGTGTTCCCCGCGTGTTTCTCGCTGCCCTCTCCCTGACCTGACCTGCAGCCTTCTAACTTCTCGTTCGAGACGAGCAGAGCGTGCCCTGCGGGGTGCTGTAGAAGTGCAGTGTTCTATACGCACGCGTGTGCACACATACACACACACACCCCACAGTCCATCATGGGAAAGCTCAGACTGGGTGGCTGGGTGGCCTCGCTTCAGGGAAGCTGGGATGCTCTTGGTTGCTCTTTCTCCCCAGCTTCCCCGAGTTCTGGTCCCTGGGTCAGCCCTCCTGGCTTTGCTGAGGCTGGCTGTTGGGGTGGGAGGTCGGCACTCCCACCGCTCCAGTGCACACACCTGCTTGGCGGTTGCCTGGAGCGGCTTCCTGGCCCACTGCTCCACGCCCACACCACTTCCCCCACACCCTGGAGAAGTTCTTTTCAGGACTGGCCTTCCTCCTTTAATGAGCCTATTTTTTTAAAAGATTTATTTATTTTATTTGAAAGTCAGAATTACACAGAGAGAGAAAGAGAGGCAGAGAGAGAGAGAGGTCTTCCATCCACTGGTTCACTCCCCAGTTGGCCGCAACGGCCGGAGCTGCACCAATTGGAAGCCAGGAGACAGGAGCGTCTTCCGGGTCTCCCACAGGGGTTCAGGGGCCCAAGGACTTGGGCCATCTTTTACTGCTTTCCCAGGCCCTAGCAGAGAGCTGGATCAGAAGAGGAGCCGGGACTAGAACCGGCGCCCATAGGGAATGCCGGCACTTCAGGCCAGGGCTTAACCCGCTGCGCCACAGCGCCGGCCCCAGGGTCTATTTTTTTTGTTTTGTTTTCTAATCAACAATCACCCTTCAAGGGCACCTTAAGATTCTAAGCTCAATAGGCTAAAAACAGAACCAGAACTTTCTCCATGTCTGATCCATGATCAGCTTTCCATTGCTGGGGAGAAAGAAAAGCCAAAAGGTGAACCACTAGTCCTGAAATGAGAAACCAGCTAAAGCACCTTCCTCCTCTCTCGGGCCGTGCACCCGCGGGCGTCTCCAACATGCCTCTGTTGACGTGTGTGTGGGTCCCTGGGTGGGTTACTCATGGGAGCAGCCCTCCCTCACAGGATCTACGGCTTCTGACCTGACGCCTAATGCAAAGAGGCTGCAAACCTCCCGGGAGCTACTCGGGTTTGAAAACCCAGCGCTTAGCTGCGCAAGGGTGCGGTTCCTACCAAGAGCCTTCCCTGAGGTGAAAACTCCCGAGAGCTGACAGGCGACAGGCAGGTCCCTTGTGGTTGGGGTTTTGTGTTTTTTTTGTTTTTTTTTTTTTCTGTCATTTGCTTGTACTGAGTTCAACCAGGGGGCGGTGGCCACCAAGGGGGTGTTTCCAAAGCTTGTTCCCACAGCTCTGTTCCTTCTTGGCCTGGCCAAAGAGCTGCCAACTGGGGAGCTGCCTGCCCCGATCCAAACAGGTTGCACACACACCTCCCACAGCGCTTTTCAAAAGTCTCCTTGTCTTCGCCGTGGGTTCTTATTTTTGCCTGCCTTCTTTTTTATTATTATTATTATTTGGCATCTGTAGAAGACATGTCTGCTAGGGTGAGGAGCCATGCTCCCAGGAGTCGTCCTCTCAATGGTTTTCTGGGCCTTAAATAAGCACAGGAGGAACAGGATGCAGGGGCCCCACTGAGTCTGGGCTGGGTTTCCGGCCCACCCCCACCCCACCTTCTGCCCCACCCCCCGCCTGAGCCCACCAGCAGCCTTGCTCTGTGCAGCAGCCAATGAGAGCCTATGTACACGTGACCACATAATGAGCACACTCTGAGCGGGGGTGGGGGGCGCCCCGGCAATGCCATCACCGGCCTCAGCTGGCCGCCCTCCCCACTTGCCTGATGCAGTTGTCTTAGCGCACTCTGCCTGAGAGTCCATGACACTGGGTTTGTAAATGGCTCGGAAGTAAAGTGTAGGCTCCACCGGTGGTAGCCGCGGCCCCGCCCCTCTGAGGGACCCAGGAGACACGCGTAGATGAAGGCGCCACGCCCAGTCGCCTCTGAGGGCTGCCGACCTTCATGGCTCAGAAGGGGGCCTGTCAGGTCAGGAGTCTGAGGTCTATCTGTCACCAGTAACGAGAAGGTGGGCCAGCCCCAAGCCAACCATGAGGGCAGAAGCCAGAGAGCAGCACTGCACGTCCAACTCGATGGCTGTGTTGGGTGGGACCAGTCGCTGCACCCCCCACTGCTTCCCTGTGGTCATTAACAAGCCAGGAGTGGGAGGCGGGGTGGACCCCACTATGCTGGGCTTCTGTACCTACTACCCACGTGCCCTCGAACTGCCTCCGGGCCGGGCGACCAGCTGTGTCCCTCCCATTCCTCTGCCACCTGCAAATGTGGCCGACTGGGCTCTTCCTGTTCTTGCTGTCTCCCACTTCATTCCCTAATAGGCTCATTCATGCTAAGTTGTTAATGGCTGACTAGTTCCATAGGTTTTTATCCCCGAGAGATGTGCCTTTTTTACAAATGTCACTGAGGTCTCCTGTCTTTGGGTCTTGCTGTCCACTGCCCAATTTATCTCTGAAAGATTAATTCATACTAAAATATTGCTGATGGACTAGTTGAATGGGTTTTTGTCTAAGAGAAATTTGGGTTTGTCAAGACTGCCCTGATAAGGGAGAAAGGATGGTTAAACTCCAAGGAGCTCTCACGGTGGAATAGTCAGGCCCTGGGGCCACCTCTGGGAACCCTGTCCCAAGCAGGATGTGGACATTTCCAAGGCTGCTCTGTACAAGGTCCCGACTGGGGGACACAGTCTGGGCAGTGAAATTGTGACCCTGGGGGGGTCACATAGGTCCTGAATTCCACTCCCCAGCTCCCATGTTTGTCGCAGTGGGAGATGTTGTCACCTTCTTCGTGGGTTGGCTGTGATGGTGGTGGCTGCCCTCCTGACTGGCCAGGAAGGGAGATTGAGGCAGTGGAGCCCACAGTTGCCACCCCGTTTCTCGGCACAGGGGTTCCCCACCTGTAAAGACCTGTCCCATCCTAAGACAATCAGAAGCCACAGCTGAGTTGCCAGTGGGCACCCATGCAGCCAGGGGACTGATTTCTCAAAGAACAGCTGAGCGAGTGTGGTTTTAAGGATCATGGCGATCCCTGTTCCCCATGCCAAAATCAAGCAGTGGTTTCCTTTATCCATTGCTCTTGGAGACGGAGGGTGGGGTGAGAGTGCCAGGCTCCTTGGGCACTGGTCTGTCCGAGACTTTTGTTCAACACTAGCCCGGTATCCCTGTCTCCTTATAGGGACTGGTATTTCCCAGAAGGGCAGTGTTCTACCCAAGGTCACACAGCTGCCCTGGAGAAATGAACCACCTTCTCTGTCCTCCACATCTCTGCTCCCTTCCCTAGGCCCTCTTCCCTACGGCTCTTACCCAATCTGATGAGTAAGTCACCCACATGTTAATCTGAGAACGTTTAGGCTGTGCAGTCTGCTCTCCTAAGACACTCCTTACAAGTCTAAATGCAGGCCATTGTATCCCACACCCTGGCCTCACACACCTTCTGTGGACTTCTTGGAAGATTCAAAGAATTAATGGAATCAGGGCTTGTGAAAGGTGAGCGTTTTGAAATTCCTCTCGGAGCAGCCAGCCTTGCGCTTGGCCCTGGCCCTGCCCTGTTCTCCTTGGACGGCAAGTCCAGACCAGTCTTCATTCAGTTCTTCCCCCATGAGTGTGCCAGACACGCAGCCCCCATCACCAGGAGCCCCCTTCTGTCTCTGTGGAGCCCAAGAGGGAGTGAGGGAGGCCCATGTCCTGTTGTCAAATGCTCCTCCCAACAGCACTGCCGGGCTGCTTGCCTTGTAGCCACATTTCTCAAGCCAGGTCCCTGCCTGGGGACTCGAAGCCCCACGTGATGAAGGACAACAAAAGGAAAAAGCCAACCTGCTCACCAGCAACTTGAAACAATGCAGTTAGTTTGGAAAGCGTCCCCACAGACACAAGGGTGGCCCAGCAAGGGGACGCATGGGAGTTTCTCTCTCTCTCTCTTCCCCTTTTTCAAGCAGGTGCTTGGCCTAGAGCCTGCCCTAGGGGTCAGAGGATGCACCTGTAGGTGACACTGTGTACCAAAGTAAAAAGCATCTTAAATATTTCTTACAGCTCGGAATGAACAAGAGGAACAAGAAGAGAAAAGAGAGATCAAGAGAAGGCTGACTCGGAAGGTGAGACGTGGTTCTCCGTGCCAAGAGCTTGGACGGGAGAGGCTGGGACACTGCCCCCTCCCCCTTAGCCTTCTTGTACCAGCCTTGGTGGCCCTGTGCCTGCCTGGCTTATCGCTTCCCCTCCTCGGATGCCCTGGCACCATAAGACTCCTCCAGGGGTGCCCTGGCCAACTCAGCTCGCCGACCCTTCGTCCTTTTGGCTGGGGACATTCAGTGTCACTTGGTTTTGTGGCTCCCACCTGCACCCGAGCAACTTGACGTCCGTTGCATTGTATTTTCAGTTACACTAAATACAATTCAACAGTAAGTACAATTTCAAGCCCCCAGAAATTCATTATGAAAATCAGTAGTTCGAGGAGAATCTGACTGTTTGCTACAGCCCTGGGAAACAGTGGGTCTTTGCTGTTTTCCTGAATACTGTCTTTTCACTATGAGCTAAGAACTATTTGACTGTATTGGGCTAAGTCCAAACTGAGTGACTGGATTAGGAAGATGCCAAAAAGACTGATACATGCCATGGAGATGTTTGAAAATACGCATAGATAGAGCTCATAAAACTGATCATTTTAGGTATTTTTAACCCCCAAAATGCATGGTTTGACAAGGTCATGGACATCTGTATGACTCTTGCCCTGTAGCAAGAACCTCTTTCAGAACAGATGCCCTGTTGAGACTTTTCCTGGGTGATGTTGAACGTTTAATTGATTGATGACACACAAGATGCCACAGTATCTTCTATCTTACTGCAGTGTTTTTAAGACACTCAAATCATAGAGAGGGTTAAGAGGCCCATTACGATGAGCTTTTAAAAGGCTTATTAGTGAATTTTTTGCCCTAAAATTATCAGGCAAAGGAAGAAATTCAGAGACCTTGGACTAGCCCCATGATCAAGGTGACCATTTGTATTTCTCATTACTTTTTGTTTTTCCTCAGAACATCCCAAGCATCTGGTGATAAACCAAAGATCAGCCCAATTAAAAAGGAGTAGGCGTGTAATCACTCACATGGCCAGCAGGGTATCACCCCGCTGTGGCCTGGCACAGAGCTACGTGAGCTCACCGCAGGCCAGGGCTGACCCCTGCACATCCCTGAGACCACCTAGACTTTAGACATGGTGCATGCAGTCCCTGTAGCTGATAGCAAAAAGGATGGGAGAACTGTGTGAGCTAGTCCCAAGTGTGTCCTTGACCATGAGGCTATGAGGGAGGGACCAGTCGTAACCCCTCATTTCTCATACCAGGAGGCCTAGACATTCAGAAAAACATTTAAATCAGGTTTTCATCAAGGTTATTGGAGTTGATTACTGGAACCCCAAAATGTTCCCACACGTTAAAATTGCTTGCTAAAAGATAATCATAGAAAAACACTTCATTTATAGAATTTTTAGCCTTAAAAAAGATCGTGTGATTTTGCAGAGAAAAACTTGACTAATCGCAGAACGTGCTGATTGGTGAGGGAGGGTGTTTCTCCCCACACCCGTCTCCCCTAGGTGGGGGTACTCCAGGGTTTCTAGTGACCCGTGACATGCAGCCTTGGGGAACCCATGGTTTCCTGGACAGGGCAGCCAGAATGTCCAGGGCTACCTCAGGACAGCCCAGAACCAGCTCAAAGAGGAGCTCTGTGCAGTGCAGGCCAGTGGGCCAGCTCCGCTTGCCACCAGACATCGATCCCCAGAGTATCCCACCATTGGCCAAGAAGGAGCTGCCAGAGGCGCCTCGGTCCTGGCCAGGGCTCGGGGGACCCACCACCAGCGTGGTTAGTAGCACTGTGTTAGGCTGTCGTCTCATCGGGCTCTGCTGCAGCGGTAGCAAGTTGGGGCATTTCAGCACCAACCAGGGCATCTGGCAGCTGCGCGACACAGAGCGAAAACAGCCAGGGTGGTTCAGATTCCCTGTGTGCGTGTGCGTGTTCCAGGCCTGAGCGGTGAGACTCGTATCTGACTACGTCTTCCATGAATGACGTTCATCAGCAGTGCAGGGCTTGGAGGGAAGATGGCTTTTAAGTAACATGGGTGGAGGCCGGCGCCACGGCTCACTAGGCTAATCCTCCGCCTTGTGGCGTCAGCACACCGGGTTCTAGTCCCGGTTGGGGCGCCGGATTCTGTCCCGGTTGCCCCTCTTCCAGGCCAGCTCTCTGCTGTGGCCAGGGAAGGCAGTGGAGGATGGCCCAGGTGCTTGGGCCCTGCACCCCATGGGAGACCAGGATAAGTATCTGGCTCCTGCCAGCGGATCAGCGCGGTGCACTGGCCGCAGCACGCCAGCCGAGGCGGCCATTGGAGGGTGAACCAACGGCAAAAGGAAGACCTTTCTCTCTGTCTCTCTCTCTCACTGTCCACTCTGCCTGTCAAAAAAAAAAAAAAAAGTAACATGGGTGGAGCATGAGTTGACAGCCTCCTAGGGTAGCTCCAGAAGCCAACCTGGTGGCCCGAAGAGATGATGGAAACGTCAGCCTCGTGTTGCTCAGGCACACAGGACGGAGGCTCACGGGCAGAGCAGGAGATGGCTAAGAAAACAAGGGCTCTCCTTTGCCTGTCTCCTTCCTCGCTCCTGCGACTCTTCACCAGAGACCCATTCAAAGGCACAATCCCGGGTATCCCAGCATCTCCTTGTTCTGTATCCATGGACCCACCTTCCACTTGAACTTCACGAGGAGGCTGTTAGAAACTTTTGCTCTGAAATCTCAGAAGCCACCAATTTTGCCATTCCTGCCATACCCAGAGCTTGCATACTGTGTGCAACAAGTGAGGGTCCTTGAAAAAGTTTGTGGAATCGGGAATTTAGGGAATTAAAAGGTAGGCTTGCCCTGGTGCAGAAATTTCTTGAAATCCATGCCTACAAGAGGTCTTCAAAGAAGTTCACAAAAATCTGTTTTATGACCAATTTATGCCTTCATTTCAAAATTTCTCTGCACCAGAATAAATTGATGTTTTAATTCCATTTTCCACAGACTTCCTGAAGGACTCTCACACACTTTTGTATATTTAAAACCCAGGGGGCAAGCATGCATACGTGTGTGTGATGCATTAGAAACCCATCTTACAGAGAGCACTGAATTGAGCACACAGATATAGACCCACAGATCCAGGCAGGTCAGCATCATTGGACGAGGTTCCTGTCACCTAGCAGGACAGGACTGACCCAGGGACCCCCGGCAGGCACCCAGAGCCCCACAGAAGGACAGGCAAATAGTAAAGACATACTGCAGTGAGATGGACAAAGGCAGACCAGCTGGCCCTCTGGCTAGGCCTGGGCCAGGCCTCTGAGAGCCCTGGAAAGACCCGTTGGTTCTCAAGGTCACGGTCCTTGGTCTCTCCCCTGCCGCACACTCGCTGTGTGATCCGCTCACTGCCTCTCTGGGCCTTGCTTTCGGCTGGCACTAAAGGACCTGGTCCCTCTCGCTCCCTCCCTGCAGCTCAGTCAGAGGCCCACGGTGGAAGAACTGCGGGAACGGAAGATCCTCATCCGTTTCAGTGACTACGTGGAGGTGGCCGATGCTCAGGACTATGACCGCCGGGCAGACAAGCCGTGGACCCGCCTCACCGCTGCCGACAAAGTAAGCCCAGGGGGCGGGGAGACGGGAGGGGCCCAGATGAAGCCCGCTGGTCCTTCCTGACTCTAACCCAGGCACTGTGAGGTCCCAGAGGGCCAAGGGACCTTTAAATGTATAGTCCAGGTGGGCGGGCACTTGGCCCAGCTGTTAGGACTCCAGTCAGGACCTCAGCGTCCCACATCACAGCATCCCACCTCCCGAAGCCAGTTTCCTGCCAGTGTAGACCCCGGGAGGCAGCAGTGATGGCTCAGGTAACTGGGTTCCTGCCACACAGGAAGACCTGGATTCCGATGCCGGCTCCTGGCTTCAGTCTCTGCTCAGCCCTGGTCATTGCTGGCATTTGAGGGGTGAACAGCAGTTGGAGTCTCTCTCCCTCTCTCCTCTGTCTCTCTGTCTCTCTCCCCCCACCCTACCTCTCAATTCATTTTTATAAAAATGCAGCCCGCAATAACGACCGTACCCAGCTTGTGACTGGCAGTGGAGCCTCGGGAGGTGATGACAGAGTCAGCCTCCCCACCATGGTCCTCCCTGCGGAGACTGGGGGGACAGGGACCTCCTCGTGCCTTCCTGCACTCCAGGGGGAGTTGGTTCCCCTACACACAGCCCAGCAGGAGGCCCCCCAGCCCCTGTTGCCTGGATCAAGGCATAGCTGGAAGCTCAGGCACAGGCCGGCTGCCGTACTTGGCGGGGCTGCAGGAGCTGGACGCAGAAAGACTGCTCCCAGAACTCTGTGCTGGGTCAGGCCACGGGTCCCAATCCCGCCTCTGTAAACACAGCGCCCGTCTCCTCCCTGTACAGAAACTCGGGGTGAGCCACCACCACCATGCGGCAGGCAGGCAGATAGACCAGGGCCCCAGCAAGTGTGTCATCGAAATGTGAACAGACCAAAGAGCGGAGACTCTTATTCTCTCTTTAAAAAAATTATTTGTTTGAAAGGCAGAGTGGCAGAGAGGAAGGGAAAGCAAGAGAGAGAGAGAGATCCTCAGTCACTCCCCAGGTTCACTCCCCCAGATGGCTGCAACAGCCAGGGCTGGGCCAGGCCAAAGCCAAGAGCCAGGGTCTCCCACGTGGATGCAGGGGCCCAAGCACTTGGGCCATTCTCCATTGCTCTCCCAGGTGCTTCAACTGGGAGCTGGATTGGACGTGGAGCAGCTGGGACTTGAACCTGCACCCATATGGGATGCTGGCATTGAAAGCGGTGATTTAACCCGCAGCTCTACCATGCCAGCCCCCATGTATGAGGTTCTCTGCAGGAAATCTCTTACAGTGAAATGCATCCCCTCAGGGTCAGTAAGGTTATAAAAGAGCTAAGGCCTTGCGAATGCAAGGGAAGGTGGCAGCTGGCCGTCTCCTCTTCTTCTTTCTGAAAATGTCCATCTTGAGGCATTGCTTGCCTGTGGTTTGTTTACCTAAAGAGGAAGAGAAATTAACATTTTTAAATGGTTTTTTCCCAGTCTCGTAGCCATTGCTATTTTATTTATTATTTGAGAAGCAGAGAGAGAAAGGGGGACAGATAGACAAATAAGAATTCACATCTGCTGGTTCATCCCCCAAATGCTTAAAACAGCCTCGGGCCAGGGCCAAGGGTGAGGCCATGGAGCTAGGACCTCAATCCAGGTCCCGCCAGGTAGGTGACGGACACTGAATCACTTGAGCCAACCTGCTGCCTCCCAGAGTACACGTTAGCAGGAAGCTGGAGTCAGGAGCTGGATATGGAACCCAGATAATCCAACGTGGGACACCTGCAGCTTACCCTCTAGGTCGGACATCCTCTCCTGAACTCAGCATTTAGATGGGTATTCAGGACCCTATAGAGGAAGAAAAAGATGCCTGGGCAATATCCGATCTGGCATTGCAGCATCAGGGAATCTTAGCACTTTCTAAAGAACAGCGCTGCCCAGGGATTTGGGCACAGTGGTTGAGATGGTGCCTGGAACAGCGCGTCCCATATGGGAGAGCCTGGTTCAAGTCTCAGATTCCCTTCTGATTCCAGCTTCCTACCTGGTGCATGCCTCGGGAGGCTGCAGGTGATGGCTTACATAGTTGGGTCCCTGCCACACACATGGGAGACCCTGACTGAGTTCTAGGGTCTTGGCCTTGGCCTGGCTCAGCCCTGGTTGTTGCAAGCTTTTGGGGAGTGAACCAGCTGATGTTGGAGGATCTCTGTCTGTCTTGTCTCCATCTCTTTCTCTTTGCCTTTCAAATTAAAAAAAAAAATTTAAAGGACATTTTAGGTGATTTTTTTTCCTTTCCAGGAGTGTGACTTTGTGGAAGGAAAAAATAGTTCCAAATGAAATAAAGGCACCCATTTCCAGCTGCCTCTTCTGTACTCTTACGGACTTGTCTTCCTTTCAGGCTGCCATCCGGAAGGAGCTCAATGAATTCAAAAGCACCGAGATGGAGGTTCATGAGCTGAGCAGACACTTAACAAGGTCAGCATGGAGCCCTGCGCTTTCTCTTCCTTCTCTTTTCCCCCTCACACTGAAACATCTGCCTCCAAGCACAGCGCCGTGGTGCCACGCCTGGGTGGGTCACAGGCGGCCTGAGTGTGTGCCGGGCGAGAAGGGAGAAGCAAGGTCAAGATGAAGTTCCTCTCTGGCTGGCAGAGACCAGGCTCAGACTCTGCAGCTTCCTGAAAGCCTGGGTTCTAATCCAGGCCGGCAGAAGGTCTGCTGGTCGCCAGGCCGCCAGGAGCCCCAAAGGAGCTTTTTATGAAAACTGAAGCCGAGGGGGAAAAAGAGCGTTGCCAATTAACCATCAGTCAGCAGAAGCCAACCGGGGCAAAATCCAAATCCACACGGGGCTTCCAAAGTGCATTTGCTTCTCTTGTTCATTGTCCCAGACAGTCCTGGGTGGTGAGATTAGGGCAAATAGAGGCACGGAGCAAGTCAAGGGTGGCTTTTTTTTTTTTTTAAGATTTTATTTATTTGAGAGGCAGAGTTATAGACAGTGAGAGGGAGAGACAGAGAGAAAGGTCTTCCTTCCATTGGTTCACTCCCCAAATGGCCACCACGGCCGGCGCTGCACCGATTGGAAGCCAGGAGCCAGGTGCTTCTTCCTGGTCTCCCATGCAGGTGCAGGGCCCAAGCACTTGGGCCATCCTCCCCTGCCCTCCCGGGCCACTGGGTCCAGAACGGGCGCCCATATGGGATGCCGGTGCCGCAGGCAGGGGATTAACCCACTGCGCCACGGTGCCGCCCCGTCAAAGGCTTCTATAAGGTCACATGGCCGCTGAGTGACAAAGCCGCTGACTTAATTCTCACAGCTGTCTCCTTTGGTGAACATTGACAGAGATGGGACTTACGGAGTAGTTAGTGCCTGCGCTCAGAGGCTGAGCCCAGGTTGACAGCGCAGGCTGCAGCTACCAGGGGTCTCCCGTGGGGATGTGCCTAGGGGGACAGGTTGGTGACTCCCTGGTACTCCCAGGGACAGGGCCTCCTGAGGACAGACAGGTTGCATTGTCAATGCCACTGCCTTTGGCAACCCCTCAGTCTTGACTTAGTGCTCTGTTTCCCTAGGTTCCACCGACCTTAACAGTCGAATTCCTCTTGAGTGCTATGCTGTCTTCAAAACATAAATTTATAAGAACCATAAGTGCTGGTATTTATTCACTCCCCATTATGATGTAAATCTTCTGAACTGCCTTTTTTTAAAAAAAAAAAAGAAGAAGAAGAAAAATAAAAGGAAACACAATCAGGATTCTATGTGTGGAAAAAGCAATGGGGACCACTCCACGGTCAGAGCTGCTGGCGCCACGTCTGATTCTGAAACGTGTCACACCCCCGGCGGGGCCCCCAACCGAAGACTTCTCAGCAGGTGGCACAGTCCTCGTCCCCTCCGTCTGTCCCAGCAGGCTCCAACTTCACTTCCTCTCCTGTGAACCTCAAGATTGTCTCCTGAGGCCAAAGAACGCAGAGACCCGAGGAGGACGTGGGGCAGAAAGGTCATGACCCGGCTGACCTTCCCGACTCCGCCCAATGCATCATCTTGTAGGGGGTTCTTTGGGGGAGTGACGGGAGGGAGGGAGTGCCTCTTGGTGGTCCCTGTCCCTTTTTCTTCTTGCAACCATTGCCCGCACAGGGGACGAAAGGGCAGCGCCCTCGGGGAGGGGTCTGTGGTTTCCTAGGAGGGTGCGTGCTCTCAGCGTGCAAGGCTGGCACTATGAGCCCAGCCTGCCCCTCCAGTCTGAGCCGAGCCATACTGCTGGAGACTGGGTCAGGAGAGCGAAGGGTCCAGGTCCCCTGCTCTGTTGCTTCAAATTGGCTTCTCTGAGTTCGGGAAGCCCAGCGTCAGGGGTGGACGGGCACACACAGCCGTCACCAAGCTCAATCTCTGTGATTGTCCCCATGAGCACGCAGGACCGTGCGTGGCTGATGAGCCTCGTCCCCGTGCTCTGCAGGGCCAGCCCTGGTATGGCTCGGAAGCTGGCGCCTTCTAAGTGTAGGACCAGTGCATCCAGGCCAGAAACCATTGTTCTAAGTCCGGCTCTGCAGCCGTGAGGGGCTGGAACCCTACAGCCAGCCGCTGGCCTTCCATTCTCCTTTCTTGGCACTCAGGAGCATCTAGGGAGAAGCCCTAGAGTTCAGCATGTGCCAAAGTCAGGCACACACCAGCCATGCCTGCCTGAGGCAGACCTGCCTGCCTCCGCTGATCCAGAGAGAATCCATCTCCCGCCTCTCTCTCTCTCTCTCTCTCTCTCTCTCTCTCTTTTTCTGTCTCTCATCTGCCTCAGTGCACATGAGGGTGATTAGAGATGTAGCTCTACCCGCCCCTCACCCTAGGGGCCCCAGGAAGGCCGCGCTGGGTTGGCAGGGACATGGGAGGCACAGTGGCTGGGGGCAGGATGCTCCCAGTCCCTGCGAGATACCCTGCAGCCCCTGGGCCGGCTTCTTTGTCTCCTAGCAGAGCTCTGCCCAGCCTCCGGAGGGGTTCCAGAGTTGCCATGACCTTTCTAGGTGCTGGCTTGCTGTTCTGCCCCTCCCATATACCCTCACACACCCAGGATTTTAAAAGACGCCATCTTGGCCTTCCCACAGCAGGCGGCACGTGGGGGCAGGGTTCTCTTAGGGTGCACACTCATCAGTGAGGCCGTGGAGTTTTTCTGCAGGCTTGGATGGCTCCCGTGGCCAGCACTGAGCCTGGAACCCGACAGACCTTGTGGGGAGCTCAGGGCAGCCCTCAGGCAGCGCCCCCACCTCCGCGCTCTCCGTGCCGCCTGGAGCGAGCTAAGATGGGTTCTTGCCTTTGAATGTTGACTCCGGATAGTTCCTGCCTATGGGGAGAAAAGGGGATGTTGTTCAGGGAAAACGTGGTCAGGATTTTAGCGGGGCTGTGAACGCAGTCTTCCCGAAAGGCTTACTGACGTTTGAATGTGCAAATAGTATGACGGAAGAGGTGGGGCTCTTCCATTGAACTTGTCCGGGGCAGGCAGGCGAGCGCGTGGCCAGGCGGAGGTGTCCGCCTGGCTCGGGCTCAGGGTCTGGTTTTCTCCAGCTGGCAGAGCTGTGCCTCCAGCAGAACACGGTGCCCTGCTGTGACAGTCCGGCCTTGCGCTGGCCGGGTACAGGTCCTAAGGGAACGCATTCCATGGGCCTTGACTCCTCCCTCAGAGGCCCGGCGCCTCTCTGCTGGCCTCAGTTCTTGGGCCTTTAGGTTCTCCAGAAATCTAAGGCCCAGGTCCACCTCCCTGCAGCCAGCCAGCCCGCCCGGGTTTGTCGGCCCCAAGGGCCCCAGTGCCATGGAAGCAGTGGAGCACTGTTCCCGCAGAGCTCGCTTGCTCAGAGCCAGGGGTGCACCTGCCAGGTTGCTGCAAGGTCGCCCCTCCCCCCACATCAGGGTGGGCCCTTTCCATCCCTCATTCAGTGGCTCTCACACAGGCTCAGCAACCCCATGTTCTGCAGCATGGCGGGAGGGGGGTGGGGGGCTCTGCTCCTCTTTCTTCAGACCCCCAGGTCTTCCTACATGCTTCTTTTGGGCCACGGTGTCAGGAGAACGAAGCAATTTGTGTCACTTTCCAAGATGACAGCTTGACTTTAATCAGGATAAACAAAATGCAAGAGGTGGCTTGGGTAGCCCGGAAGGCATCCTTTCTCTGGAAAAGCTTCTGTTTTCTGTTAATTTGGGGTAAGCTCCCAGCTGAGCATCTTGTCATTTGGATTCACATGAAAGGAAACACGTGGAATGTCTTAAATCAGATGTCTCCTGCTCACAGCCAGGCACGGTCCCAAACCCCTTCCCCCAGAGAATCAACCAAATGTCTTCTTGCCAGATGCTGATATTTTTTTCGTCTCCAAAGGCCCTCCAATGGCCTGTGAAAAGTGTCAGACTTCAGCCGTTCTGGTCAGATCAGAGTACGAGCAGCTCCGAGTCTCTCTCTCTCCCGCTTAGGAACGTGTGTTTATATTTGCCAAATGAAACTCGTGGTGTGTTGCGGTGGTGCGTGGAGTTCCAGGCCCTCCCTGTGCACAGCTAGTGGGCAAAGACCACTTTCAACGACCCTTCCTTCCTATCTATCTCTTCTTCCCCGAACGGGTTGCTTCCCCGGGCGTCTGTACATAGTTTGTCTTTGTATAGGAGTGAGTGTGGTGACCGTCAGTCCCAGGCTCGAACTTGGCAAGGATGGCTGTATGAAGAAGACCCTGTATATAGAAAACAAATGAAACTGGATCTCTGTGGCCTAGGTTTTGTACATACAGAAACTGCATGGTATTTAAATTATTGTTTGTCTCTGATGATGTATGCAGTTTCTTTAAAAACAAACCAAACACAAAAAAAAAAGTCTAAAAAAAAAAAACCCTTTGACTTGTGTGTTTTATCAACCGCCAACAGGAACCACCAGAAATACTCAGTTTGGCTGGGGGTGTGGGGGAGGGGAACTGGCACATCAGCAAAGTAGAATTGGAAATAACAGGGCAGCCTTGTGTGTCTGGTGTGCTGGGCGAGGGAAGTACAACATACGCATGATAATACACATATGCATCTAACATACATGCAGATATGTGAATGATATAATACATGCAATGCACATACAGTGTCCAGAAGACTTGGGGATACTAGGGCTGTTGGAACCGTCTTACAAATGTGTGACCCAGCTGTGTGTCCTTCAACCATCTGGGAGTTGCACATAGGCAGCGTTGTTTGTGTTCCATCCCCGGCATCGTCTTGGTAGCCCCGGCAGCAACGCCTGGGCAGCCTTTGGGACATCACTGCCCTGAAGCAGGAGACCTGGACTGCTTTGTAGCGTGCAGTCCTGTGCGTTCACAGATTCCATCAGCCTCAACCGAGAACAGGTGAAAGGTTTGTGTCTGGCATTATGCCCTAGGCGATACCGTCTAGCAGGTGTTTACATTGTATTAGGTATTGGTAGTATTTTCGTGACTATAATGAAATGCCTGTGGCAGGCTCACTTTATAAAGAAAAGAGGTATATTTTGGCGCATGGTTTGAGAGGTGTGAAATCTAGGGGACGGCCTTTGTGCTGGTGGGGTTCCAGGGTGGCTCAGAGTGTCGGTTGGCAACAGACAGGTGCATGCATGTGGCGATCTCTATACCCCTTCCTATTAAACCAGGATTCAACCATAGGGGGCGCCACCTCCATGACCCAAAGGCCCCACCACTGAATGCCACTTTCCTCCTGTTAATGCCGTTGATGTGAGGCTTGGGGGTAAGCCCGAGTTCAGGATGAAGGCGTACAACCCACTGCGGTGCTGTGAGGGAAGATTTAGAGGGTGCGGGGAGGTGTGTGGGGGCTATCTGCACATACAGCCTTGTACATGTGGGACTGTGGTGCTGTCACCCCCTGCTGGCCCCTTGGGATGAGTCTACTCGCTGCTTCCTGACGTGTCTTTGGGGGATGGGGGTTCCAGAGGCCATGCAGGGGCGGCCTTGCTTGCTGGCTGCGTCGTTGTCGTCAAAGTCGGGTGAGGTTGCAGGATGCCGTGTCCTTGATGCTGACCATAGGAAGGAGGAACCCACGGTGGTGCTGCGTAAATGGCGCCTCGCCCGGAAATCACCCGGGGATCTGGTACAGGGCGATGCTGACTCAGAGGTTCTGGGCGGGGCCTGACTCTGCAAAGTTTCCAGCAAAGTCGAGGAGCCCGGGGTGCAGCCTCAGGGTCAAGAGGCCCTCGCCGCACACTGCAGTACCCGGCTTTGAGTCCTGGCTCTGCCGGGGCAGACCCTGGGAGGCGGCAGCGATGGCTCCAGTGGTTGGATCCCTGCCACTCAGCGTGGGTCTCAAACCCATGTTGCGTTCCTAGTACCTGGCTTCAGCCTGGCCCAGTCCCGGCTGCCATGGGCATCTAGGAAGTGAACCGTAGATAAAAGCTTGCTCTCTGTCTGCCTCTCAAATCATGGTTTGGGTTTGCTCCTTTCCCCAAAACGGGGATGGGGGCGGGGGGCTCTTTACTGAATTAGTGTGTAGAAGAGACAGGCACAAAAGCAGAATTTCTTGGACAGCCAGCCGGGAGGCAGGCTGCCTGAGCTGGAGTTCCAGGCCTGGCTCCTCTTCCTGGTCCATGATGCACTCTGACTTGGTGTCTACAGGGTCTCCCAGGGGTCATGTTTGCTGTCTGGCAACACCGTTGCGAGTGGAGGGCGGACAGTGCCATGTGCTCCTTCTCGGAGAAGGACGTTGGCATGGACCGTGGTCCAGGGGGAGTCTCAGGTGCGCCCAAGGCTGCGCTGTGTGCACCAAGTGAATGCAGAGCACCTGCCGGGCAGGGACAAGCCAGCCCCTCCAGCCACACGGGCGGAAAGTCCCCCGGCCTGTGGGAGGACTCAGGGTCACAGCCCACGGCCAGTCTCTGGCATCCCAGGGACTGCCAGCCACGCCCACAGGGGCAACGCGAGGGCACATCCGGGGCTTTCTGCCGCAACACGTGAGCCCAGAAGCCTCAGCCACCACCGAAATCCCCTGTGTGGTGGCTCTGTGGAGCCCCAGGGTTAATGTAGTAAAAAATGCCATCTGGCAGGAGGCTGACCTGGTTCCCACGCTGTGCAGGTTGTCAGGACGGTGGGGACACTTTTGCAATCAGCATTGAAATGGGACCTGTCACCTCTGCCAGCCCCGGTTCATGCCCTCACTCTGCCCAGCATCCACTCCTAGGGAGCCTCTTGTTGCAATCCCACTGTCTTGCATTCTCCTTAATTCTTGTGATGGTGACGACAGCCCCAAGTGTGCAAAAACAAACAAACAAACAAACAAAAAACTAAAAACCTTCCTTCTGGCTCTGTGTTAGGCCGACAGAAGTCTGCCCTGAGGAAGGGAACCTGGGTCTGAGGCAGGAGGATCGCTGTCAGGCAGATCCAGTCGTCTTGCACCCTTACCCCCACCCCCACCCCACGCACAGCCTCCTTTGCTACTAAAAAAGTGAGTTACAAAAGTTAGAAGACTAGGAAGGACACTCAGTGCTGGCTGCCCTTTATAGGAGGTCAACAAGGAAACTTACCTGTGTGTACGTAATATGGGTACAGGCCTTCTGCAAATCGTATCACATTCTTTATAAAGATTTATTCATTTATTAGAGAGGCAGAGAGAGAGAAAGAGAGGTGTTCTATCCACTGGTTCCCTCCCCAGATGGCCACAATGGCTGGAACTGCACCTATCAGAAGCCAGGAGCCAGGAGCTTCTTCCGGGTCTCCCACACGGGTGCAGGGGCCCAAGGACTTGGGTCATCTTCTACTGCTTTCCCAGGCCATAGCAAAAAGCCAGATCGGAAGTGGAGCAGCTGGGACTCGAACCAGCTCCCATATGGGATGCCGGGACTGCGGGCAGAAGCTTTACCTGCTTATGTCACAGTGCCAGCCCCTCATACCATATTTTTAAAAATGATTATTTATTTGAAAGGCAGAGCTAGAGGAAAGGAGAGACAGAGAGAGAGAGGTCTTCGATCTGCTGGTTCACTCCTCAGATGGACGCAATGGCCGGAGCTGTGCTGATCCGAAGCCAGAAGCCAGGAGCCTAATCTGGGTCTCCCATGTGGGTGGCAGGGGTCCAAGCACTTGGGCCATCTTCTACTGCTTTCCCAGGTGCATTAGCAGGGAGCTGGATCAGAAGTGGAGCAGCTGGGACTTGAGCCGGCGCCCATATGGGATGCTGGCATCACGGGCAGTGGCTTCACCCCCTACACCACAGTGCCATCCTGGGCGTATCACATGTTTAAGGCCAGGAAGAGGCCATTGTATGGAAATGCGGGCATGTTTCACACCACCCAGCTGCTGATCAGAAAAACAAGGTCACCCCAGGCTATGCACAGGGACGGGCTCCCATCAAGCCAGCCCTTCCCCGTCTCTGGCCGTCACCCTGTGTGCAGGACACAGGTGCATGGGGTTTGATGCAAAG